TACTGCGAAAGCTATAAGAGAGCGCGGACGTCTCCTTATGCTTTCTCTCGCCGTACTTTGATGTCATACACCGATCGATCTTCAAGTGGAATACACCTCTTCACTCTCGCGTGTCACATGACCGAGTGTAAAATCGCATTTTTCATATTGCGATATTATCGCAAATGCAATTAATTGTTCAGTCCTACTTTTAATGCAAAGAAATGTCCAAAAAGACATTCTTCGAGATTAAAATAAATGTGTTAGATATACATATGTATAATTTCTGCCAAGCAACATAATTTCCCACCTAAACTTCTAACTGCCATGTAAATCTAACAGATCCACCCACTTAGGGAGACCAAAGAATCATATTTACTGCACTTATACTGGACTTGAACATGCCAGAATTTGGCTCTGCACAACTGCTAATGGAGTTAAAATACTTGTCAGATAAACTACATTGACTGCAATATCTCTGACCCAGACATCAGATTTTATGGCAGGCAAAGACATTTCCTCCAAGCAACTGAGCTACTAAGAGACATTTGGGCAGCTGTCCAGTTGATTTTACATTGGATAAAAGCCTCCCCTTCACCCTGCTCTGACAGAAGATACCCAACACCATATCAATAAACTAGAGCCCGACCGATATGGGTTTTTTGGGGCCGATACCAATATTAGGGAGTAAAAAAAAGGCAGATATCGATATATCAGCCGATATTATTTGTGTATATTATAGTACAGTACCAGTCAAAAGTTTGGAAACTTGCCCATTCGAGGGTCCAAACATTTGACTGGTACTATATATAGAATACAGTATATACATAAACAGAATATATATACATAAACACATTTTTTGCACTAATCACTCAAATGTGGTGATCAAACACTTACAATGACGTGACAAAGATACCTAATGGAGGCAGGGCATTTAAAAATGTAACAAAATTTATTATCCAAAATGAGTCTGACATCAGTGCACTAAACAGTAAATTTGAAGTTTACTCAACTTTAATTCAATTCCATTCAACTTTATTCCTTTGAAATTTATTTCACTTCGGAACATTCATTCACAGATTTGCGCTACTGTCTTCACACACAGGTGAAACTTACTAGAGAAGTGTGACAATTACATTACCTCTGTAAATAAATACAATATAAATTCACGTCTCGCGCACTTTAATCCCCTTTGAATGTAACATATTGTTCCCTTGGAACTAGAATCATGGCGGAATTTCATGTGAAGTCCACTTCGCAAGGCACTTGCGGTCGAATAAGACAACACTTGAATGCTGCTGCCTGAACAAGAAACCTCCTTACTGAAGTGAAAGTGTTGACTGGTGTCACCATCTCGCGAACGCGCCGGCGGATCTCCACCAAATTCGGGGGATCCCTTCAGCTCGAGGAGCCCTCTCGAACGCCACCCTCCGCGCTTCGGTAGCCCCCCCGGGATCGCTTGATCGGTCGGCACCGGACCACGAATTTAACCACCCGTGTAGCGAATTTTAGCTCACAACAGGAAATATGAATAATTCACCATAACTAGTTATAATTAACCATTCATATTTTAGATCCGCTGTAGATATTTAGCTGACCACTCAGGGTCAACTGTCTTGTCAATTCTAAGAACGTTAAGCGGGCCTCTAGACGTACACTCGATTCGCGTTCGAGAGGGTTTCTCAAACTGAAGGGATCCCCCGAATTTGGTGCAGATTCGCCGCGCCGTTATGGAGATATGGCCATTGAAATTTTTTATGGTTTTCCATAGACTTAAGCTTTTAAGTCCCCCTGCAGTGAAAATCAAGTTTTTTATGTTGGTTATTTGTCTATGTGGTGTTTTTAATATGCTTTTAGACAAACCATGTGCCAATCTATTAATCAACACCATTGCTGAGTATTTTCTCCTTAAAACTGTAGTTTCCCAAAGGCTGACCCAGAAATATGGTTTGAAACAGCCCTTGGTTTGCTACGTCACAAACCAATAATGTCAAGGGATCGATACCTATCACTAGCATGCAAAATATACCAATACCAGCACAAAACCAAAAATAAATCAGAGCAAAAAACCCATGAAGCTGTGGTTTAATGTGAATTTAGAACCGCTAACTTGCATTATAACCCGTGGCAACAGTGTAAAAGTAGCCCGGAGTCAGACGCAGCTGCGGGAGTGGTACTTCACATGCGTATGCTCGCGGGCGTGAATTAACAATCACAAACGGCTGCATTCGAGTCTTCAAGGCATTTTAGGACACAACATCGTCAAGTAAGTAACTTGACTGTTACGAATGTTACAGTATTCACTGTAGTTGTCTGCTAGTAAAAACATAGTTTTATCAGTCATTATCCGTGTATGCCATTGTTTTGCGGTTACTACATTTCAGTGGATCAGGAGGCGCTGGCTGGTGTGACTGAGTGGAGGCGGGACTAATTTGCATATTCATAGATCCGCGTATAGTAAATGAGGCATGGGTGTAGAGTTACATTTAAGCTATTTTAAGGCACGAGAAAATTATTTTCACAAGAAAAAACATTTAAATATGTCATTTTGATGATCAAAGATAAGTTTTAAGGGATAAAATATTTGACTGCATGGGGACTTTAAAGCGTTTCATCCAGGTCACCAGTAGTAAACAATGGAGCGCTCTGCTGGACAATTACACCATTTCAAGCATTTTATCTGCGTTATATGTTCTGTAAAAAAAATGTCATATTGGCGGCATATTCACCGGTACCGATATATCGGCGACAGGCTCATATCGGCCAATAATATCAGCAAAACTATATATCGGTCGGCCTCTACATGAAACCTTTCCAGTGGCATGAATTTCAAGCTATTCAAATTACTCAAATCAGTGGAGGTATAGCTGAGATTCTGGAACTGATTCTGGTTTGCTGAGTGTTGGCTGACCAGTCACACTAACCCTAAATGCTGATACAAATCATATTATCATTGTGCCCATCTCTGCTCTCTGTGCCCTAGTGTGGCGGTGGGCAGGAATGTAGGGGTGTTAGTGAAAACAAAAGCACCGGCAGTAGTAATGATGACTTGGCTTAGAGAAACACAGCACCCTGTGCATCGGGACAATAGTGGTCTCACCCACAGCAACATACAGAGAGGAGAGTATGGGGGGGATTTAGACCGTCAGCACTCTGGGGGGCCAACGTCGCATTCCTCTCATTGCTGCCACTACACTGATGCATCCATCCATTTCTCTCTTCATCCATTCATCAACCAGCAAACACAGCCACTTGCAGCCAATGATTCATCAGTACATCTGAGCAGATCTGTCTGTCCATCTGTCAGCTAGCATGATTCCAAATATCAGTCTGTCCATCCACACCCATCTATGGGGTTCAAGGTCTCAGCAATTTCTAGAGCAGCTCAATTAATCAAAGAGTTCAAAAGGTACTCGCATGACAGGAATGGCACATTTGCATAATTCCCCTAATTTGTATTGCTTTAAACACAAGATAAAATACTGAAATGTAGGAGTTGACAGCATTTCTCCGGATTTGGAATGAGAAGCACATTAAAAACTATTGATCTTCCATCAGTCCTACACCAAAATAAAGGCTTGAGGGCTAAACAATCATGAAAGTGAAGAAATTACTTTTGAAATAAGTACATTTCTAATGCATTATATATTTCTAATATTATTATTACTATTATTGATTGTAACAATTCAGCATTACATTATTCAATATGACTAAATAAAAAATAAAAAAAACTAAGTTCTGTTCACTATCTTCACTTTTGGCTCAAATGAAACACATCGGAGTTCTGTTCTTTTAAAAAACTTCCTGTTGGCACCAGGTTATAGGCAAACCTGCTAGTTTGTAGTTTTTGCACACTCTGTTCAACAACCTGAGACTCCTGTTTCAATGTGCTTTTATTTATTTGTTCTATCTGCACAGCAACAATATGAGATGTTAAATAGATAAGGTTCACACAAAAATGAAAATTCTGTCATCCGTTATGACATTCCACACCTGTATGACTTTCTTCTGTAGAACACAAAAGCAGATGTCTGAAATGTCTCAGTGTTTTTATCCATACAGTGGAAATCAATGTTAACCAAAACATTTGGTTACTAACATTTTTCAAAATACCCTAAAAATACTAAGTCATCAGGTTTGGAACAACTTGAGGGTGAGTAAACAATGACAGTATTCTCATTTTTGGGTGAATTTTCCCTTAAAGGTTTATATTCATATGTCATCACAATATGATATGACCAAATCAGTTATTTCAATAACAATTGCATTGTGGGTATATCTCATGATGTGCTACTTAATGAGATGCTGAAATAGATCAGCATGTGAGAGAGAGAAAGAAATACAAGTTAAGGACCACTTGAAAACCTATGCTTGAACATCCTATGAAATGGGATTAAACCAATATCTCAACTCACAGACAGGCAAAAACAATAATCTTCCCTTTTATCTAAAGGCCCGCTGAGAGTGATTACATAAGGACCAGATCTCAACATTTCCTATATTAACTGTTTAGACAGCACATCTCGTACTCGACCATGGAGGAAGGTAAGAACAGAAAGTTCAACAACATTCACCTGCTGTTCAAATGGAAGAATATTGTCATGTTACCTGAAAAAAGACAAGTCCAGTACAGAGACTAAAAATAAATCAAATGTACTCAAAAGAAGGGCTCAATACAGAAGGGATGCTATGCAGCGCCTCGAAATCCCCCATCCAGACGAGATGAGAGAGAGCTCAGCCTGTCCAACTGAATGAGAAACTGACAGTCAACAGCAGCACGAGCGCTAACCGCAGATCCGGCCGTAATCCCCCTCCATCCTCCGCCGCATGCTGCGTTAATGTCATCAAATCCCGTGTTCTCGCCCTATCACTCCATTTATACAGCATGCAATAGCAGGCACTGCCATGTCCGATTTCATTCAATCGTTAAACGCTCTAATCTGCCAAAGACAACCGTCCAAAATACTGGCATTAAACGTTGTTCTGCAATACAGTTAAGTGCATTGGGTTTACTTATCTACCTGGCCTCCCCTTCCATGGCAATTTGGCAGTATCGTTGTGATGCTTTTTCCAGTCTTGGATTCAGACAGCGCAACAGCTAGTGAGGCCATGCATCCCCCTCCACCGCCTATGACAAATCAAAATAACACAGCAGATGGCATGCAAGGAGCCCAAGATGCGAGCTAAATCACATTGCATTGCATTTAAAACGCCAGATACCCTCCGCTCGCACACATATCCCTCACATTAGTGTGCTGAACCGTAATGTTTGGGTGGAAAGCTCACATGATAGTCTGGGAAGTAGTGAATGCGCGCGGTGGACGCACAGACACACGCCGAAACAAAAGGCGAGCAGCATGGTCATTCACACACACACACACACACACACACACGCGCGCGCGTGCGACCCGTGTGAGACAACTGAACGTTACATTACCTCAAAATTTTGACAACCGCATGATGCATGGTGGCCATTATTAATTCGCGACGACTAAAGCTTGATATTTAAATGAACAGCCGTTACAGCTACGCAGACTTACCTAACGTTATGGCGTGGCTGTGTTTTCAAATCCAACGAATCTCAACGTTTCTCTTGGGCGAAGACAAAGCGGAATGGTTTCGTCCAGCTCACATAGGTGTTTCTGTTTTCTTCCCGTTTTAAAAGCCAGATAGCTCTCGGTAGTTTTTCCGTTAATTCCGCATCCTTGTGTGAGGGTTTTTTTTTTCTCAGCCCGAGCAGCGCGGGCGGGTATTAAACATAAAGCGAATCCCTCGCGTGACGGTGAGCTCAGGTAACCACACAGATTTCAAACCGTTATTTCAGTTCTCGTCGAATATTTGAATTCCTTCGTAATTGTCATACAGCCTTGTGTCCACGCGACCTCCGGCGTGTCGCTCTCGTCTTTCTTTAGTCCGACTGATAGACGAAAGAATGAATGATAGCGGGGGGGTTGCGGGGGCTCATACAGCACGAGCGAGCGCGCGCCTACACACAGCAGCGCGAGAGAGGCACATCTGATTAGTATGTTGAACGCATTTCGCGCCCACGGATGCACAACAACGAGCAAATTAATTAATTTTTCTAGTAAAGACTGTGGGTGCTTTAAAACAATAGTTGTGCCGTTGAACATCAGAAGACAGAGTAACGTTAGACTACTTGCTTGTCTTGCATGCGGACTGATATTTGCCATCATGATGCCAATTAAATCAAGAGATAAGCAAACTCGTAGGTACCACGTGTGACATACTGTAATTTGGGTTGCTTGTGTAGTTAATAAAATAATATTATTAGTCTAATCTGTCAAGTTATACTGTATGATTACACACTGGTTTACCAGTAGCATCATCTACCCAAACAAGGCGAGATCCAAAGCAAACTTTGTAGGGTCACCACTAAAATTTACAGGATCTTGGTAGACAACGTTCTGACAATCTGACAATCAAAAGCATTAACATCCTTGCAATGACTTCTTTTCTCTGATGATGTGTACACTGGTGTGAGGGCGGGACAATATTCCCTTCCTTCCATCAACCTGTCGGTCACAATTAGCAAACAACAATGATCCAATCAATTCCTAATGGTCAAAATCAAATCCCACCCTACAGTTTTTCTGGTTAAAGAAGCTGTTTCACGCAGATATACAGCAAGTCACAGGCAATAAAAGACGATCAGAACTCATGCTGACTTTAAAGGCAAAGTTCATCCAAAAATGAAAATTCTTTCATTAATTACTCACCTTCATGTTGTTCCAAACCCGTGAGATCTTCATTCATATTCAAAACACAAATTAAGATACAGTATTTTTGATGAAATATGAGAGCTCTCTGACACTGCATAGGCAGCAATGCAACTGAAATGTTCCCAGGCTCCAAAAGGTAAGGATATCGATAAAATAGTCCATGTGACATCAGTGGTTCAACTGTAATTTTACGAAGCTGCGAGAATACTTTTTGTGTGCAAAGAAAACAAAAATAATTACTTTATTCAACAATTCTTCTCCCCCAAACCACGTATTCTGCCATTATGGAGAATACCACGACGCATGCGCGTTGCTTTACTCTGCATGTAAACAAGGCTCAGCGTATGCATGTTCTAGGTCAACAGCATCACACGTGTGTTTACGTGCATGTGTTGTTTACGTGCATGGCAGAAGACGTTATTTGGAGGAGAAGAATTGTTGAATAACGTCATTATTTTTGTTTTCTTTGCACCCAAAGTATTATCGCAGCTTCGTAAAATTACAGTTGAACCCAATGTCCTTACTATACGTTTCTGGACCTGGGAACATTTCAGTTGCTTTACTGTCTATGGAGGGTCAGAGAATCTCAGATTTAATAAAAAATATCTTAAGTTGTGTTCCAAAGATGAACGAAGGTCTTGTGGGTTTGGAACGACATGAGGGTAAGTAATTAATGACAGAATTTAAATTTTTGTGTGAACTAGGGCTGGACGATATGGCCAAAATCTATATCACGATATATTTCTTAATTTCAGTCGATACGATATAATTCCGATATCGATATGAACACTATTAAAAAAGCCTCATAAAAACGGCCAAGAATGGCCACAACAGATGTCTGTGCCTACAAACTTATGAAAAATTATTTTGCCAACTCTATGAAACCTACTCCTACAAAACTATATAATATTTTAGGAAACAAATGGCGCAAATAAATAAATGTTCACCTTTTATTGGTATTTAGCCTTCATACAAACAAGAAATGTGAAATCACTGTCAAATAAATATCAGACTCTCCATATTAATATTAATATTTTTTACTTCAAACTATAGGCTAACATACCAGTCAAAAGTTTTTGAACAGTATGGCTGTAAACAAAGCAGCTCCGCTCATGAACGCTACTTCATCAGATAAAAATGCCATCTAAACTATTCTGAAGACAGTCGGTTCCCTTCAGAGATACATTCACATAAAACACCCGCGACGCGTTTTGATTTTGAAACGTGCAGCGCTCATGTTTATTCAACGAAGTCAAACGCCACAAATAAATCAATGTATGGGAAACACTGGTAATGTATATCGAAATATCGGAAATGTGTTTAAAAATCATATCACCGTTATTGAAAAAAATTATATCGCGATACATATTGATATTGAATTATTGTCCAGCCCTAGTGTGAACTATCCCTTTAACAACTGGTTTCAGCCAGGGCCATCCTTAGCTGACACAAGGCCCAGTGCGAGGTAGGGCCCCCTCTGTCCGTTCACGATCACGTTCCCCCTCGGTCCATTCGCAATCACTTTCCCCCTAGGCCCATTCGCAGTCCCAAAGGGCCCCTTGTGCTGGACGTTGGGGCCTCCATAGCATTTTGCTGGTGGTAGTGATAAAAGGATAGGATACCTATAATGTTTATCAGAAAGGGATGCCTCTGATTGATTTGTATTGTGAATTAATAAAAGCTTCAAGGCAACTTTGCTCTTGACTGGGACTTGCAAATGGGGCTCCTGAAGATACATGAAAGAAACAGGGGCCCTTGTGTTTTTTCAGAGAGGTGACTGGGGGGATGGGGTCTTCGATTCATTTGGGGTGGAGGGGCCAGACTGCTTGGGGCCTCTGGGCATGTGTCCCACATGCTGGTCATAATCACAGACCCAGAACATAAACAATGCATCAGACCATGAATTTGCTACATCCATCACATGCCAGATCTGATGGCGGGGTGGTTATACCAAGACATAAACGAACATATTACCTCGCAGGTGATGAAGCATCTTACACCAAAAGCACATATGTCAACACATTCAAGCTGTTCTGTACTGGTCCTAGTGGAGAATACAAAACATTAGTCTAGAATGTTCCCACATAAAAAAAATGCTCTTGCTAATGGAGCATATAATGGACACAGTCATTGACATTTACATAGCAGCAGATATGTATTCAAACATATCCTTTATATATGCCAACTGACCATGTTCATGCCCTTATCTTCTGTTGGGTCTCACATGTCATTCTCTTTTAAATTTACATATTGTAGAGATATTTTTAGCCGTTGGTCATTATCTGAGTTCTCTGATGCAAAAGTTGTTTGAAGAGAACAACAATTTTGCTCAGTCTGAACCAGCACACACTTCTAGATGCACATGCTCTCTTAATAGGCTCTTCAAGACACACAGGCATCTCATGTTCATGCACAAGTATTCTTTTGATACTGATATTCTTTTAATCAGATAAAAACCGATTGCTGATCATAGATTACAGATCAAGTTTCTTCCTGACTCAGGGGTTGAATTTACTTTTTATGCAGTGATAAATGTCTCTTGCTAATGTCTGTCTCTCTTTTTATCTAAACCTCCACCCCTCCCACCTACAATGGTCCCCATCCCTACCTGGTCCCCTCTTTTGAAAGAGCACACAATAGTGTGGGAGACAAAGGAAAAGAGCTGAGTGGGCAGCACTAAGTATCTGTGGGTACTGGGGCCCTCTCGAGCTGGAACTGGCTGAAGCTTTGCTTACATAGAACTGCTTTCTGCTCACTACAGCACATTCAGTATCTCACTCTGTTGCTCACTCTTTTTTTCAGTTTTATCTTTTAAAGTCTGTTAAAAGTTAAAAGTGGTTGATATTGTGGGGACTGGCCTGCGGTCCACACGATGGAAAAAAAAATATTAAAAATAGTAAATGATGTTTATCTGAAAGTTTAACAATGCAAACAGGTTTTCTGTAAGGGGTATGGTTAGGGTTAGGGGATAGTAAATATCGTTTGGTGAGAAGAGTTCAGATGCAAAAGCCTCTAAGTGCCATCTGAAATTTTCTTTTAAAATTAGCATTTTTATCAGGCTCCTATGTTTAGATTCAGTCATTTTACTTTAATGGCAATGTATAGGTCCTTTTCTATGCCATTAAAGTGAAATAAATTAACATAAATATAGGAGCCTGATGAAAATGCTCATTTTAGATGAAAATTTCAGATGGCACTTAGAGACTTTTGCATCTGAACTCTTCATATATATATAGCCTATCCACCTTTTTCTTGCTGTAAAAATGGGCGTGGCCATTTGTAAATTCTATGGGTCTAGCTTCCAGTCTCATTGGTGTCCAGCTATTTTTAGCTGTACAAAACAGTTTGTTTTGCTGCTTGATATTGAAAATTGGTTTGTCTTATCATATTATTTTAATCTATTGTCTTAATTATGAACACACTGATTTGTAGCGCAAACAGTTTTACTGTTTACTGCACGTTGTTATTCTTCTCATTATTTACCTATAGCAGCTAATGAACCGGAAGTCTCGCCCATAGGCTTACTTCCACGTTGAAGAAAAAGGTGGATATACATATATATATATACAGTGGGGCAAAAAAGTATTTAGTCAGCCACCAATTGTGCAAGTTCTCCAGTATATGTGTGTGTTTTTGTGTGTATGATGTAAATCCATTTGAAATAGCAAATTATGAGTGCACAGTGTTGGTGTGTTTTGTGTGCAGAAGCAATTATTTTTGCCTCAGGCTCAGTGCATGTGTCCAGTTTTGGATCTCC